CTTTCGCACAGGACGTGCGCTTGGGGGTTGCTGAACCACAGCTCCTCCGCCTCGTCGCGGAAGGACCTCGGCGTGGCAGAGGGCAGGGAGGTCGACGGGAGGAGGAGGAGGTCGACGGGAGGATGAGGAGGAGGAGGAGGAGGAGGAGGAGGAGGAGGAAGAAGAGGAGGAACAGCAGGAGGAGGAGGAGAAGGGAAGAGCGAAAAGGAGGGATGAGAGAGGATGAGGAGCAGGATGAGGAGGAGGAGGAAGAGGAGGAGAGGGACGAGGAGGAGGAGGGATGAGGAAGGGGGGAGGCGTTCGTGCCCTCAGGAGAAACCGTTCGGTGTGGCTATGGGCCTCGATGGGAGAAGGCCGGGAGCCTCGCTCGTGAATTGAAATCGCCGGGTCGACCGACAGTGTAGGGAAAAGACGGCTCGCACGGCGGCGACGAAAAGGTGTAAAACAATATGCGGGGGATCCCAAAATCAGGCAGCCGACGCCCCGGACACTGGGCAGTTGCTATAAAAAACTGGCTGCGACCGCGTGCAAAAACCGAAACGACTATATACACGAACGACGGCGACGCACTCCGTGCACAACATGTGCCCTGCATGACACGAACATGGAAAAACATATGGCACAGGACAATTTCTTATACATATTTTTATTAAGCATATCGGATGTTTAATACATGATTAATGTATGGCTAAATGTATGCATGAACTCATCGTTGTTCCCTACCTAGGCTCTGCCTAGAAGGGTTCTACTGTGTGGGCTTAAAGGGGCCGGGCAGTGTTCCACGCCCCGGGCGGTTCCCCCAGGATCCGCCCCGTGGTTCCCCCAGTGACGTCCCCTTAGCTGACCGTTGCTTATCTCATCTTAGCTTAGCCTAGCTTAATTTAGCTTAGCTTAGCTTAGCCTAGCCTAGCTTAGCTTAGCTTAGCTTAGCCTCGCCTAGCTTAGCTTAGCTTAGCGCAGCATTAGCATAGCATAGCATAGCATATCATAGCGCAGCATAGCATAGCGCAGCATAGCATAGCATAGCGCAGCATATCATAGCATATCATAGCATAGCTTAGCTTCGCTTAGCATAGCACAGCGCAGCATAGCATAGCATAGCCTAGCACAGGCAATGCAAAGCAGAAACAAAACCAATGCGAACGTGTAGATGTATATTTAGATGTAGGTGTAGGTGTAGATGTGGATGTAGGTGTAGATGTAGATGTACATGTAGGTGTAGGTTTTTTCTCCCCACGGCAACCGAAGCCAAACGCCAAAGCTAGCCCCGCACAAACGGAACCAACACAAAACAGGCGATCAAAGACAAGGAAAAGACTAGCGAAACGAAAACGGCGTTAAAACTGTTAAGCCGCATTTCCGCATCCAAGTAGGAAGAGGAGGAGGAGAGGGACAGGGGGAGGCCGAAGAGGAGCCAGGAGGGGAATGAACTAAACCAGGCCTCAAATCGAGGATAGGCCGGCACCGCCGGTACATCCAAAATGGCGCACTGACTGCTGCAGGGCCAGCTAGGGAGGACAAATCCTGCCCCCTGCTGAAGACAGCGGCGATCAAATGCAAATAGCAAGACAAGGCTACAGTGCGTTGGGTGCAAAAGTTCGCCAACTCATAAAACCCAAAGGCGATGAAAATGGTGATGCTAAAAGGTGTCGCCCCGCCCCAACACCCTTTGGCGCAGTGGGCACGCAGGCCAAGAAACGGCAAATGGGGCAAACCCAGAGCATCGGGGGGGTTGGCCGACCGCGGTCGCAAGACCGTGAGCGTGCGCCGATCGCGCATGCAGCCGGCGAGAATCGCCAATTCCCTCGCTAAGGGGACGGGAGAGGGGAAGAGGGAGGGAGGCAGAGGCGGAGAGGGGCCGACTACACAATTTCGACACCGAGGGCGAACAAATTCGATACCCTTGCACAACACTCCCGGCCGAGACTGGAAGAAACACACCGCGAAACGGGGTGTGAGAGGCGACCCTGTCCCGGCCGCGTGGCCGAAGGTACTGGCGCGCGATCGCCGCGCGCTCTGGTCTCGGCCTGGCCCAGGTCCACAACGCAGCACTGCGAACCAGAGAAGGCGGAGGGGGAGACGGAGGAGGAGGAAAGGAGGAGGGACAGCCTGAGCGTGTGAAAAGTGAAGCCGTCACGACAACCCGCCGTCGTCGGCGTCGAGTTGCTCGCACCATTCCGCCGCCAGCACCTCGCGCAGCTGGACCCGCAGCGCCCGGAGCATCGAGGCTGGCCCCAGACGAGGTCCAGGGTGGTGTCGCCACCAACCGTGGAGCTTGTATGTGGCGGTCGTGAGCAAGGCCCGCCGCAGCACGTCGTGGTGATGTGCAACCGGCTGCGCCCGCAGGACGCCCAAGAAGCCCGCCAGGCGGTCCTCCGGCGGAAGCGGCTGCACCCAGAGGTCAGAAGTGCCAAACGCTAAGATGTGCTTGCAAGTGGCGTAGTGCTGGATCGAGTCTTCATGGCCACAACCCATCATACACGTAGCGTGGCGATTCTGCATGCGCCTCCCTGACACCCAACAGTTGGTGAAGGTGCGAAGCATTGCGGCGACCACCCTCGGCTGAGCATGCCCCCGCAACCAGTTGACTGTGGACAGGAAGCGGTCGACTCGACGGCCCGGGAGGACATTCAACCGCCAGCGGTCAGCATCGGTCAGCTATTCTCTGGAGTATTGGATGAAGTTCAGCGACCCTGGGGGCGAGGGTGAGTTGGGCGCGAACCGCAGCTCTCTGTAATCCTCGCTGAACCCGACGTGCTGCTGGCCGTGTCCATGGCCGGGGCCCGCCCAACTCGTGTTCCAGAGAGGCGACGGTGATGCCGCGTACTCTGAGGTCCTCAACAGCCTGCGAGAGGGTGTGCAAGATGCTGCCGTCAAACCACGTACGCCACTGGGCAACCCGGATGACCCTGTCCGTGTTGCTTTCCAGCAGGCGAAGTGCTCGCGCCCGCGCCTGGACCCGGAGCCCGCCCGTGGTTCCCGCCTCCCGTGCGGCGATCCGGAGCTTCGCCGCCTTGGCCATGAACGCCACGCTTGCGAAGGACTTCGGCATTCCAGTCAGGTCCAAGTACGGCAACAGCAACAGCAGGGAGCCGTTGCCAGGGCAGCGAACCAAGTTCTTCATGCACTGGGCCTCTTGGTCTTCCCATCCTGGCGGGAGATCCTCCAGCTGTGCAACGTAGGACAGGACAGGCAATATGTAGACCGAGTACGCGAGCACGGCGACGTGCAAACCGCCTCCAGCCTGGCCCCAGAAAGATGATCGCTCCAGAAACTTCCGCATCGGTTTCTCCCAAGACTTGGTCGCCCGTCCTGGGCCCAGGTGTACCCCAAGGTACTTTGCGGAGTCGTCAAAATGCATCCTCCCCCATTGCGGCACCTCCTGCTGCACCGTGCGCCGGGCTAATGCTGAGTTCGGCTCACTGAGGTCCACCCAGACGCACTTGTCCATGTTCAGCTCCAGGCCTGATATGGTGGCGTAATCCGCCAGGAGAGACGCCAATGGCGGTGCCGACTCGCGCCAGGCCTGGAGGACCAAGGCAATGTCGTCGGCGTACGCCCTGATGAGAACACCCGGGACCGTGCGTCGAATGCGGCGCAGCAACAAGTCGGCCACGATCGCAAAGAGAACCGGGGAAAGCGGGCAACCCTGTCTGATCCCGCTCTCGACGTAGAAGCCCGCGTGCCGCCCTCCCCCCACCGCCAGCCAACACCAGTTGTTGTGGTATAGCGTCGTGATCATATTGAGCAGTTCTGCGGGGAGGCCCAGGTGAGCCAGAGTGGAGAGCATGAACGACCTCGTGACGCTCGGGAAAGCAGCGCGGAAGTCGAGGAAGACTGCGCTTCCTGCATCCTCTGTGAGGGCCACCTCCATCATGCGCTCGTCGACCGCCAGGATGTTGCTGATCATCGACCGGCCTGGCAGAAAGCCTTGCTGTTCCTGCGAGACCCAAAGAGCGACGCACTTCTCCAGCTGGAGCCGCACTGCGTTGGCCAGGATCCGACTGTCCCCGTTGGCGATGCTGAGGGGGCGCGTGGCGTCGGGCATGCACCCCAGCCGCTCCCCGCCCTCCAACGGCGTGCCAACTTTCGGCAAGAAGACCATGAGTGCATCGTTGAAGGCCGGGCAGTCCCGGGCGACAATCTCCAGGCCGTCGCCAGACATCATATCGCCAAGGACCGCCTCAAGAACATCCCCGCCCAGGGGCCCGAGCGCCTGCCACGCGGCGAGCGGGGGCCCGTCTGGCCCCGGCGCTGACTTCGGTGCTTCTTTGATGGCCTTGTCAAGGTCTTCACGTGAAGGCAGCCACTCTTCCCGGCGAAGGCGACGAAGAATGCCGAGCTGCGCGGGGCCAAGGTCTTCTGTGCACCATCGTTGGAGAGCGTTTTCGTCGTGTTGTCGACGCCTGAATGCCCCTTGCCAGTGCGAGCGCAGGGCTTGCGCCATGCCCTCCGGGTCCGTCAGCATTTCCCCGTGGCGGTCCACGACGCCTCCCAGGGCAGCCGAGCGGCCCGGGGCCAACCGCTTGAGCAACTGCATGACCCTGTTGCGGCGGCGCTGGAGCAACTCGAAATCTGGCTCGTCGACGGCCGGGCCCCCCTCGGCAGCTTGCACTTCCCGTAGTTGCTGCAAGGCCGAGCCTCGGGCCAGCTCCACCGCGTGCGCCTGGATGGCCTCCAACGGGCGGCCGAGCATGGAGTTCAGCTTGGGGTGCGCCTGGCAGCAGCGGCGGACCGTTCCCACCGCCCCCCGCCCCAGCGCTCGGATACACCTCAAGGTCCAACCAAGATGATCATCGATGTCTGTCGTCTCAGACACCTGGTGCTGCCTCTCGCTGCCCATCGTGTCGGAGATAATCCTCATCGCCTCCTTCAGGGCGGGCGAAGCCAGAAAGGCACGACGAGGGAGTAGCCAGGAGGGACTCGGAATCCTGGGGGACGGACGCCCCGCTGAGGTCCGCCGTATGCTTCAACTCCGCCTGCCGCAGGAGCGTCTGGTACAATGCTGCCACCCGTACGCCCCAGGCAGGTTCTCGAATCAGCGCCGCCGGAACCGGACGAGGCTGGCCCGAGGTTGGCTGCGCCCGCCGGCGGCCGAAGGCAACAGCGCGATGATGTGACAGATGCGGCACCCAGGACAGCGGGGCGCAGTGCAGGGTCGTGTCCAACTGGGTGGACACATGCGCATTCCAGTAGACCCTGTCGATCCTCGATCGGCACCCAGCGTCGTCATGAGTGGCCTGCGTCTGGTGGAGCTCGTGGAGGCCGTGCCTCCTACAGAGCCCCTCCTGCCAGTGATCTTCATCGGCCTTATCCCTGACGCTCGCGTGCAGGATGGGGTCGTGAAGACGGTCGTCCTTCGAGGTCCGGTCCGCCCCCTCCACCACCCAGTTGAAGTCCCCTCCGATGACGCTCATCACCTGGGTCTTTGGGGCCATCATCGTGTCGATGCGCTCCCGCATGAGCTGCCGCTGCCTTTTCACCTGCATGTTGGCCTCCTCGTCCGTCGCAGCACGCACGAGGCCGCGGGTGCCGGTGGCAAAATAAACCGTCCAAATGTCGAGCGCACCAGGGGGGCCTCGTAGTCGAAGTACAGCGGCACGCCCTGGGACGGCCTCCTCCCAGACTGGGTCCGGGTCGAATTGCCGCAGGAAGCTGTCGCGGAGGATGATGCCTACGCCCGCCCTGGCAGAGGTGCCTGTCGACCACATCGCCGTGAAACCCGGCGACGGCCGCCAGGCGGCCTTGTCGCCGTCCGTCACATGCGCCTCGGAGAGCAGCACGAAGTCGCGTCCACGAAGTAATCGCATCACATATTTGGCCTTCGCGAAGTGCTTCCTGACGTCCACTGCGAAGAATGCCTGGGAGTTCCAAGCGGCTCCCACTAGCGAACCGTGGTACGGACCGTCATGCCTATGAACTGGGCTTGTGGCCGAAGCTCCGGATCGAGGCGGTGGCGTGGCAGGTGCTGGCGCCTGAGCCTCATGCCCCGGAGGGGGCGAGGCCCGCTGGCGCTTAATCCGCGGGGCCGGCGCTGCAGGCGGCAGACTGGGTAGCTGGCGCGCTCGCTGGACGGCCGCCCGAATGGCGACGCAGTGAGGAATATCTTGATGCTCCCCGGCCACAGGGAGCTGCAGAGGCACCACCTGAGAAGGGCATGTAATCAAATTATCTGCGCACGGCGCGCCTGAAGCGGAAGATGAAGAGGAAGAAGAAGTAACCGCCTGAGCCGTTGATGCCCTCCCCCGTGTAGTTGTAGATGCAGTCCCAAGTGTAGTCGCAGATGAAGTCCCAAGCGAACATGAAGATGAATTCGCATGCAATGCAATCCGGCGGCAGGAGAGCACGACATCCAGACACCAAGAGGTGATGCCGTGCTCGTCGATGACTCGCGTTGCCACCGGGCCCAGGCTCGCCGCGGACAGTCGCGGCGAGCTGTGCCGACTCATGCCCGCGAGGCGGGGGGGTCGGCGCCCCCCCCCGCGGATGCCGTTTTTTGCAGCAGCCGCCGTGTTGAGCAGGCCGTTGCCCTCCAGGTCCTGCAAGTCCGTCGTGCACTCCAGGCTGACCAAATCGGCCCCCAACTGGATCGCTCGTCCGTGCACCGCCTGCGTGAACCTGCGCGCTTGGTCGTCGGTGTCAAGATGCACGCGCACTCTCCCTGTAGCCGCGGCCGGGTTCTCCTTCGCCAGCCACGTCCAAGTAGGGCCAGTGGGCTGTGGCCCCACGTCGGACTCCGTCAGCGCCAGCCCGGAGTGGTGGCCGAGAACCTCTATCAGCTTCTGCACGACGGCCTGCGGATTCGCCCCCATGTGGCCGAGAACCTTGACCTCGGCCTCCGGCTTGACCAATCCTACCACTCCCCTGCCTTTCCGGGCTTCCCGGCGAACCGCCGCCAGCTGCTGAGGCGACGCCGACGGGTAAGCCCATGGACGTCCACCCTGCGTACGGTTGGAGGGCCGCCAGCGGAGTCGCAGGAGCGACACCTCTGGATCCTCCTGCAAGATGTGGTTCATGATTGTCTTCCACTGGTCCGCACTCCCCTCCACGATGGCCAACGCCCGGTCTGAGGTGTAGGCCAGGAGCTCCTTGCAGTGCGGCCAGGCCTTGCCGAACGCCTCCGGCCCCGTGACCTCGAGGATATGGCAGCCAGGGTCGGTGTAGAGATGCTGGCCGCCGATGTGCACCGACTGCGCCAGACGATCCGCCCGGCGAGTCCGCAGATGACGCATATGCAAGTCGATGTCGAGACGGGAGACACCTGTCGGGAAGTGGATGGGGATCTGGATCCGAGGGGCCGTCTTGAGGTGAACAGGGCTTCTCTCCGAGTCCCCCAGGGTCGCTCGAAGCGGGGCGAGCCCTCGCCGCAGCGTCGCCAACGTGGTCGTGACGTCCTCCATCGCCATGTCCGCGTAGTAGGTCTCGCCCAACTCCATGGTGAATAGCGGGGCCGCCTCAACGAAAAGCTTCGGGAGCGAGACGGTGACCTTGCCGGCGACTGTGGCGATGATGAGGCCGTGATTGCCGACCACGGGCCCTGCCGAGCCCGTGGACACCATCTGCAATGGCCGGGGCAACAACTCGATCGACTTGACCAGGCCAGCCCATTGAGGGCCCATGAGCGGGCTCCAACACATGTCCATGTGCGAGTCCACATCGGAACAACCCTGGAAGGTGGGAAGGGTGGACAAAAGTCGGCATCGGAAGTCTGGAACATCCCCGCAGTGACGCAGCAGAGCCGAACGGAGTCGACCGAGGGCTGCCGCGTCCGTGGGCGCCCACAGTACGGCGCCGCAGGGCAGACCCTGCAGAGTCGCCACGTCGCCCGCGTACAACTTGGATGTCGTTTCCCGGTCCTGCTGCACCTTGGCTTCCGTCGAGCCGGTGGCCGTCAGCACGCGAGACAGCTGGGTGAGGCACTGCTCCCCTGGTGCTCCACCCGGGGGGCAGAGCAGGTCGAGGGCAACCGGGCCCAGCTCCATGTAGAGGGGCACAGGCCTCTGCTTGTGCCGCCGGCGCGCTTGGAGCAAGTCCGGGAGGGCCGTCAGGCAGGCCTCGCGGGCTGCCTCATATCGTAGCTTCGCAGCCCCGACCGCCTCCATATCACTCGCTGTCCAGGTGGAGCCCATTGCTATGTCGAGAAGCTGGGCGGCCCAATCCGCGCTGCGAACGATGTCCTTCGCAGTGGGCTCCATCCCTTCCAGTGCCAGCCGGCCGAGGCGACGCCAGACATCAGGCTCGTCAGGGTCGAGCCCGACTTGCCGGAGAAGGCCATGCAGATCGTCCCAAGCGTGCAACTCCGAGCGAAGACGGAGAGGGGTAGCCGACGGGCCCGTCGCTGCCTGGGCCTGCAGCAGCTCGAAGTGGTGCAGAATGATCGTCTCGCAGTGCCTGGCGAACATGTCGTTGCTGCTCGTGATGTCGTCGTCGTCGTCGTCGACGTCGTCAATCTCGATGGCGCCCAACGCAACTGACGCAGTGTCCAGCTCGATCTGCCGCATCTCCTGTGTCAGGCCGGTGTGGCTCTGCTGGGGCTCAGGAGGAGGCAGTCCTGGCGGCACCGGTGCATTCGCCAGCGCGGCGCCCCCGGCACGCGCCCCCGGAGTGGCCCCGCCCGCCGCTGCTGGTGCGAGGGTGGCTGCGAAGCGACTGCCGGGCAGCCCCTGCCCGCAGCGCCGGCAGCGGCCCAGCTCATCGGCCGATGCGGGCAGTGCGCCGAATAGCGGGCATGCCGCATGAGTGCACGCCATCGCAAGCAGAGAGGGGAGTCTGAGAGAAATGGAGTGTGCTGGGAAGAGCCTGAATGCGCCCTATGCGCGGGCACTCGGGGCCGGCCCAATTGAGCCGGATGTTATACTTGAGCCAAAGGCTTGTGGGTGTAGTTGTAGATGTAGATGTGAGTGTAGTTGTAGATGTAGATGTGAGTGTAGTTGTAGATGTAGATGTAGATGTAGCTGCATGTGTACACGTAGATGTAGCTGTATGTGTAGATGTGGATGTAGGTCTCGATGTAGATGAAGGTATCAAGCTGTACTATCACTACTACTACTACTACTACTACTACTACTACTACTACTACTACTACTACTACTACTACTACTACTACTACTACTACTACTACTACTACTACTACTACTACTACTACTACTACTACTACTACTACTACGACTACTACTACTACTACTACTACTACTACTACTACTACTACTACTACTACTACTACTACTACTACTACTACTACTACTACTACTACTACTACTACTACTACTACTACTACTACTACTACTACTACTACTGCTGCTGCTGCTGCTGCTGCTACTGCTACTGCTACTGCTCCTGCTACTGCTACTACTACTACTACCGCTACTGCTACAACTGCGACGATGAGGAGAAGGAGGAGGACGGCGTTTACCGTTACAACTAATATTGCTCTCCTCGCGGCTCCAACTCCTAGGTAGGGTCGCTCTGGGATATTGTTTTATACTAAATCCCTGCATGTTGTACACATGATCCGCACGCGGAGCATGTATTAAAAACGGCACTGTAGAGACAATGTATGTAAACGTGCTTGCGTTGCGCACATGCGCGCATGCACTCGTATGATAAGTGTTCATGACGCGAAAATCGTCGGACCGCGAAATATGAGCCTGAACCCGACGCCGCAATCCAGTTCAAACTTTTCCTCCGTTCTCTCATCCGAGAACGCCCGCAGTCTAGTCCAAAACCAAACGAAGCCATCAACCCACCAGCGCGCACCCAAAACAGAACCAACAACATTTCCAGAAATTGTCCGGAAATATCGAGCTTCGCCGTCGCTTGCCCCCTCTGAACCCGAGCTCCCCACACAAAAAAAGGCAACCGCGCAACGGCGACAAATTACACACCAAAACTCTGGTTAAAACTCCCCTCTGGCCCGAGACACCCACGCACAAGGAACAACGGCGCAACCGCGACGAATTTCAAGGCAAAGTTCTGTTTCGACCCCCCCCTTGGGCCCGACCCCCCACACGAAGGGAGCAAACGCGCAACCGCGACGAGGCCCCTGGCCCACGACCCAGGCGCGGTGGCGGGGTGGGCTGAAAGAAATTATGCAGACAACCAACTCCACTCTCGCATTTCGGCGGCAAGCGAGCTCGGCGGCGGCGGTCCCGAACAATAGATGCACTTCTCAAAAAACGGAATCGGCGACGGCGGCCCGCCCAGAGACTTGGGGGCGTAGAGGCCCAATAGATCTGGTGATGAATTGAGTTTGATTCATCACCAGGTCTACCATGCGAACCCTGCCGCTGGGGCCTTCGGTGGAGCTCCTGTGGGGCCACGATCCTCGTGAGGGGCGTGCCGAAATGGCCCGTGCCGAAATGGGGCGAGGCCGCCATGCAACCTTTCCCTCTGGGGCCTTAGGTGGAGCTCCCTACGGGGCCACGAAACGTGTGAGGGGTGTGCCGAAATGGGGCGAGGCCGCCATGCAACCTTTCCCTCCGGGGCCTTAGGTGGAGCTCCCTACGGGGCCACGAAACGTGTGAGGGGTGTGCCGAAATGGGGCGAGGCCGCCATGCAACCTTTCCCTCTGGGGCCTTAGGTGGAGCTCCCTACGGGGCCACGAAACGTGTGAGGGGTGTGCCGAAATGCGTGCGGTGCGGGGGAGGAGGGAGGAGGGGGAGGAGGAGGAGTGAGTGAGTGAGTGAGACGCGGGGCGCCGTCTCTTCAAAACGAGGACCCAACACCACAGGATGGTTGGTAAACAACCGGGGAATAAACCAGTTTGACCAGGAAAAACTCCACTCCACCGGTGTATCTGCCATCAGACCAGTCCCCTCCCCCCTCCCCCCTCCGCGGCCGCGCCCCCCACACTCGCCTCCCTCCCAAGACATCCGACGTCTCGATTTTTGTCAATACGGGGTCCCCGGAACTCCCGACCCCTACCAGGGCAGACCTTGCATGCCAGGCCGTTTTGGCCGGCCCCGGAGCCTGACGAGGGCCCCCAGAGGCCGAAGACTGCGAGAAGCCTCCGTCTTGATGCTCTGCCAGAGCATCCAACGTCTTCAAGACAGATTTGAGGACGTCGGATGCGCGGGGGGCCGAAGAGGGAGGGGGGCGAAGAGGGCCACGGGCCACTGGCGGCCGCCGCGTCCTCAGCGCGAGAGGGCCCTGGCCTCCTCCGCCATTCGGCGGCGAGCCCAGAGAGGGGGGGGGCCCGAGCGGGAGCAGGCCGTCTCGGAGGGCGGCGGGGCTTCCCGGCAGTCCTCCGGCCTTCGGGGCCGCCGTGGCTTCGGGGAGGGGCTCGCGCGGCTTCTGCGAGGGCGCGAGGCCTTCTGGGAAGCGCCGCCGCCCTCTGAGACGGGCTGCCCCCTCCCACTTCCCCCCCCATCTGGGCTCACCGCCGAGCCGTGCCGCCGAGTCGAGGCGGGACCTTGGCGAGGCAGACGGCCGACACGCTGGAGGAGGAGGAGGAGGAGGAGGAGGAGGAGGACGAGGAGGAGGAGGGAAGGAAGAGTGAAGAGAGGGAAGAGATGGAAGAGAAAGCAGGAGGAGGCGGAGGAGGAGAGGAGGAGGAGGAGGAGGAGGAGGAGAAGAGGCGGAGCGGGCGTTAAGCGCATGTCCCCGCCGCAGCCCTCCGCCTCGTGCTGTCCGCCGCCGCGGATGCCCCACGCCTGCTCAGCCGGCTGGAAACGTGGCACTGCCGCGCATCTTGCGACGGGCCCGAGCCAGGCTTGGACAAATGTTGTGAGGAGGAGAAAATGAGAAAGAGGAGGAGGAGGGGAGGAGGAGGATGATAAGGCAGGGCTCGGAGTGGCAAAGGAGGAGGAGAAGGAGAAGGAGGAGGGTGAGGAAGAGAGGGAGGAGCAGGAGGAGGAGGAGAGGGCGGGACGAGAGAGATGAGCACGAGGAGAGGAGAGGGAAGACCGAGACGTGAGGAGCAAGATGGCAGGATGAGGAGGGCGAGGGGGAGGACCACGAATCTCCCGAGGAGGAGGAGGAGAAGGAGGAGGTGCAGGAGGAGGAAGAGGAGGAGGAGGAGGTGCAGGAGGAGGAAGAGGAGGAGGAGGAGGAGGAGGAGGAGGAGGAGGAGGAGGAGGACGACGACGACGACGACGACGGCCACGCGCGCGAGCGGTCAGTCCCGCTCAGACCGCGGCTTGCCGAGCACGCGCTGGAGCTTCGCGGCAAGGGGCCGGAGCCACAGCAGCCCCGTGAGCGCCCCCAGCGCGAGCGCCAGGGCGCCCGCAGGGGTCCAGGGCTCCGGGCTGCCCGCGGCGCGCTGCTCGCCGAGCAGCTCGGGGTACACGTGCTCCGTGTACCACCCCATGCTCCTCGCGGCGGAGGAGGAGGAGGAGGAGGAGGAGCGGGCAGTTAGCGCAGCCCCGCCCGCAGCCCTCCGCCTCGTGCTGTCCGGCGCCGCGGATGCCCACGCCTGCTGCCGCCGGCTGGGAACGTGGCAGCTGGCCGCGCGCTGCGACGGGCCCAGAGCCAGGATTGGACAATGTGTGAGGAGGAGAAAAATGAGAAAGAGGAGGAGGAGGAGGAGGAGGAGGAGGAGGTGCAGGAGGAGGAGAAGGAGAAGGAGGAGGGTGAGGAAGAGAGGGAGGAGCAGGAGGAGGAGGAGAGGGCGGGACGAGAGAGATGAGCACGAGGAGAGGAGAGGGAAGACCGAGACGTGAGGAGCAAGATGGCAGGATGAGGAGGGCGAGGGGGAGGACCACGAATCTCCCGAGGAGGAGGAGGAGAAGGAGGAGGTGCAGGAGGAGGAAGAGGAGGAGGAGGAGGTGCAGGAGGAGGAAGAGGAGGAGGAGGAGGAGGAGGAGGAGGAGGAGGAGGAGGAGGACGACGACGACGACGACGACGACGACGGCCACGCGCGCGAGCGGTCAGTCCCGCTCAGACCGCGGCTTGCCGAGCACGCGCTGGAGCTTCGCGGCAAGGGGCCGGAGCCACAGCAGCCCCGTGAGCGCCCCCAGCGCGAGCGCCAGGGCGCCCGCAGGGGTCCAGGGCTCCGGGCTGCCCGCGGCGCGCTGCTCGCCGAGCAGCTCGGGGTACACGTGCTCCGTGTACCACCCCATGCTCCTCGCGGCGGCGAGCTCATGCATCATCCTCCGCCTCCGCCTCCGCCTCCGCCTCCGCCTCCACCTCGCCTTCGCCTTCGCCGCCTCCTCCTCCTCCTCCTCCTCCTCCTCCTTCTCCTCCATTCCTTCTCCTTATAGATAACTCCCCCCGGTCGCACACCCCGAGGCCAGTTTTTAGCGCGGGCCGGGCGTTTCGCCTGAGATCTCCTCACCATTTATGACTCTGAAGCTTAAAAAGTGACAGCAGTTTCACAGATGGAGGGCGGGTGGTTTTCAAAATGTGGCTCTCGCCGCAGCGCCGCGCACATTCGTCTTAAACATCTGCGAGAGCTTCACGGATCGAGGGCGGGTGGTTTTCAAAATGTGGCTCTCGCCTGAGCGCCGCGCACATTCCTTGTAAACAGTTGCAAGAGTTTCACAGAATATTGAGGGCGGTTCCTTTTCAAAATGTGGCTCTCGCCTCAGCGCCGCGCACATTCGTTTCCTAAATTTGCAAGAGTTCCACGGATTCCCATGAAATCATGATTATGCGGGCGCAACAGTTATGTTGAACCGCTGTGTTGAAGTCCCAAAGAATGGCGTTCTGGCACGACTATGGATCGTGAAGACGCAGCGGTCAGGTTGATACGTGGCGTTGACATCCCGAGAACAATGTTTTGGCACGCTTCAGGATTTTCAAACTGTTGTCTTCCAACGAGGCGGTTCCCTCAATGGAAATGATCCGTTGTAGGGGCCTATGAAGAGGGAACTTGGAGGGATGCTGAATTCCAACATCGTTGATGACTCTTGGGTTTCCACTGGTCCTCCTCCTCCTCCTCCTCCTCCTCGTCTTCTTCTTCTTCTTCCTCCTCCTCCTCCTCCTCGTCCTCCTCTTTTCCCCTCCTCCCCTCCTCCTCCTCCTCCTCCTCCGCCTCCGCCTCCGCCTCCTGCATCCACCTCCTCCTCCCAGTCCCTCCTCTTTCCCCTCCGCATCCGCATTCGCCTGCTGCTGCTGCTCCTCCTCCCCCTCTTCCTCCTCCTCCTCCTCCTCCTCCTCTCCCTCCTCCTCCTCGTCCTCCTCCTCCTCCTCCGCATCCAACCTCCTCCTGCCTCCACCTCCTCCTCCTCCTCCTCCTCCGCCTCCGCCTCCTTCTCCTTTTCCCAATCTCTCCTCCTAGTCCCTTCTCTTTCTCCTCCGCATCCGCATCCGCCTGCTGCTGGTCCTCCTCCTCCTCTTTCTCCTTCCTGTTCCCTCTCTTTCATCTCTCTCTTTCCTCTCTCTTCAATCTCTCTTCTCTCCTCTTCCTCCTCCTCCTCTTCCTCCTCCCTGTTGCCCCCCACTCTTCCCTCACTCTTGCAATCCTCTTCCTCCCTCCTCTTACTTCTTAACCTCCTCCTCCTCCTCATACCTCCTCCCCTCCTCTTCCTCCTCCTGTTCCCTACTCTCTATAATCAATCTCTCTCCCTCCTTTTCCTCCTCCTCCTCGTCCTCGTCTGCCTCCTCCTCTCCCCTCCACATGTATTCCTCTCACCCGTCCCTTCCCTCTCATCAGTCTTCCTCCCTCTTCTCCTCCCTCCCTCCTCCTCTTCTTCTTCCTCCTCCTCCTCCTCCTCCTCCTCCTCCTCCTCCTCCTCCTCCTCCTCCTCCTCCTCCTCTAGCATCCTCTGGCGTGTCGGCGGCCTTCCGCGCCCAAGGTCCTGTTTCGATCCAGCGGCATGGCTCGGCGGCGAGACCAGGGGGAAACGAGACTTCTCACAGGCCGGCGGGGCTTTCTCGGAAGCCCTCCGAGAAGTCCCTCCGAGAAGCCGTCGCTGGCCTCGCAGAAGGCTCAGGCAACGCTTCGGGAGGCGCGAGGGCTTCCGAGGAGCGCCGCCGCCTTCTGAGAAGGCCTGCTCCCGCTCACTTCCCCCCTCGGCTCGCCTCAGATCCTCAAGACGGGGGAGAATCCAGGCATGCTCGCGCCGTGACAACTAACCCCAGCAAAGCGCCCCGACAGAAGCAGAACGCGACCACGTGTGCACCTCGTTGTATTCGGCTGTGCGCAATAGTGGCCCTGGGTAATCGTGACCGTTGGTGCGCGACTTTCTGGGGGCCGCGGGGGGACCAAACCTGGGCGCGCAAGCAGCTGCTACTGCTTCGTTCTCAGCCACATGGGGACCCATCTGTGCCCGCACCCTCTTCCTCCTCCTCCCAGGGCCGCCACCTCCCCGCGACGCGACGCGCCCAAAACGCCGCGGGCCAAGCCACAGACACCCGCGGAGACCACAGGACGCAAGGATACCTTGCCCCTGGGCTGCCAAGGGCACGACGCGCGATGCGCAGGACACAAGAGTACCCTTGATTTGGCAGGGTCGACCTACTAATCCGGGCCGCCTGTACTCAAACCCTCCAGCGAAACGCTCTCGGGGAGAACTTGTAGCAACGGGCGGTCTGTGACCATTCTCGGCCTCCAGGGGCCCTCGCTGGGCCTCGGGGCCGTCGGGGCACGACTCTGGTCGAAAGGCCAGCCCTGGGGAACGGGTCGGGACTTTTGGGGGCCGCGAGCCGAAAAGATCAAGGCATCGCACGTCCAGGGGGGGGGGGGGGGGGAGGACGAGGGAGGGTGGAGGGCGAGGGAGTGGGTGGAGGTTGAGGGAGAGGGGGGTGGATGACGAGGGAGTGGGAGGGAGGGGGAGTGGAGGATGGAGGGAAGGTGGAGGGCGAGGGAGAGGGTGGAGGACGAGGGAGAGGGGGACGACGAGGGCGACCAGGGGGAGGATGGACGGCGAGGGCGACGGGCGAGGGTGGAGGACAAGGGGGAGGGGCAGGAAGGGAGGACTGCGGAGAAGGATGCAGGAAGAGGGGCAGTGCGGAGGAGCCCGATCACAGAGGAGTCCAGTGTGGCTGCTGCAGTAAGGAGCGCTAGATAAGGAACGAAGCCCCTCTTTGGCACCAGAAGAGCCTGGGTGCACAAGGAGGGCAGAAGGAACAATGACGGAATAACCTGAGACACAGCGAGCCCCTTCCGAGCTCAAAGCGGTCCTTATTTCAGCGTCGCGACTGTACGGTGCTGGAGACGGGAGGAGGAAGAGGGGAAGAAGAGGGGAGAGGATGAGGTTCCTCGTTCGCGATTCGGCTACCTTGCTCCCACAGGTACCGTGTGGTGAGCGTATACTCTGAGTCACGTTGGGCTTACTTCTACTTCTACTTTCTACTACTTCTACTTCTTTTTACTGGTCTACATCTTGCCCAAAAAAAACCTTATTTGGTTGGCCCCGCTATAAAAAAATTAACCTAAATTAAAAGAAACGCCAGCCAAAACGCAAACAAGAAAAAGTGTGAAACGCTACTTAAAAAGCTATGCTACGTGTAAAACGAAAAAAACGCTTACGGCAACGAAAAAACGCTAAAACGAATAAATGCTGCTACGGATAAGCTAAACGCCTAAGTCAGAGTCCTGTGGTCTGCAGCATCACATACAGTCGCTGCAACTGTCGTCGCCCTAAGGTTCGCTTCGCCCCGCCCGAACGGAAAGATGAGGATACGGAAACGACGACGCTGATGAGCCGTTAGGTGATGGGAGACAGCTGGTATCTGGTCGGACGCGGCAGCGAGGAGGAGGAGTAGGAGGAGGAGGAAGGAGGAGGAGATTAGGAGGGGAACGGAGGAGGAGGAGGAGGAGGAGGAGGAGGAGGAGGAGGAGGAGGAGGACGGATAGCGAAGGACGGGGTAGCAAACCAACTCACGTCGCCGGTTTTCCTGGCGCCTCCCGGCGCCGGAGGCGACCAAGTATCGAATAACGGGCCCCATAAAGGAGCCAAGACCAGCTGCATGCAGCAGCTTTCTTTCGCTTCCCGTACCCCCCTCGCCCACCGTGCCCCCTTTTCATCCGCCACGAGTGGTGATGGTGACGACAGTGACGATGACGGCCGAGCACCCTGACGGGGTGGAGGGAGGAGGAGGAGGAGGAGGAGGAGGAGGAGGAGGAGGAGGAGGAGGAGGAGGAGCGCTCGCGCAGTATACCCCGTACCCCCCCCGTTCGGGAAGCAAAAGTCACTACCCCGAGGCAAGAGCGACCTTTGGAGCGCGCCTTCCGGGCGTCACCAGGGAAGGGGGGAGGGACGGGGGGGGGGGGGGACGGGGGGCGGAAGTCCAACCGCGCGAGCCGCTGCCGCCACCCCACATTGCAACATCGCATTGGAAAGCTCGGCCGGAGCTCTGGACTGGACTCCATCACTCTGCGGCATTGGGCGAGCCAGATCGATCCGTGAGGGCCGAGGGGGTCCGAAACTGGGCAGGATCGCCCACTGTGGCGAGATCGCGACGCTAGGACCCCAGTGCACCGCATTCCGGCGATCGGGAAACCCTCGTGGGCCCGCGGCAAGGTCACTCTGGCGAAGGGTCACTCCTGCGTGCAGCCGACGACCTCTGGCCGAGCCGGGCCACCTGGGTGCTCTGGCATCCCAGCGCGGCCCTGCGGTCGCTCCTCCTCCGGCTCCGCCTCCACCTCCTCCATTCCTTTTCGTTATACCTAACAGGCCGGGCCTTTCTCCTCCTCCTCCTCCACCTCCTGCCCCCCCTCCTCCACCTCCTGCCTCCACTCCTCCTCCTCCTCCTCCTCCTCCTCTTCTCCTTTTCCTTGTACGATTAATAATCTTTTTAGGGCTATAGGGCTATGGGGCTATAGGGATATAGGGCTAAAAGGCTCTGGGGCTATAGGGCTATAAAGAAATAGGGCAATAGGGCTATAGGGCTAGAATGCTACAAGGCTAGAAAGGCTAGAAAGGCTATAGGGCTATTAGGGCTATGGGGCTATAGGGCTACAAGGCTACCAGGCTGTGGGGCTATAGGGCTATAGGGCTATAGGGCTATAAGGCTATAGGGCTATAGGCTTATACGGCTATAGGGCTATAGGACTGTAGGGCTATAGGGCTATAGGCTATAGGGCTATAAAAGGCTATCAGGCTGCAGGGCTATAGGGCTATAGGTCTATTAGGGCTATAGGGCTACATGGCTGTAAGGCTGTAGGTATAAGGCTATAGGCTTATAAGGCAATAAAGGTACCGGGTTATAGCCCGGGCACCCGGGCACCCGAGCACCCGGACACCTGGGCACCAGGGGCACCCGGGCACCCGGACACCCGGGCACCCGGGCACCCGGGCACTCTGGCACCCGGGCACCCGGGCACCTGGGCATGCACCCAGGCACCTGGGCATCGAGGCATCGGGGCGTGCCGCCGAAATCGGCGCCCCACCTCACCTAACCAAATGATACTGGAGACAAGCCCCAATCATAATCTTTTTAGGGCTATAGGGCTATGGGGCTATAGGGCTATAGGGCTATAGGGCTATGGGGCTATGGGGCTATAGGGCTATAGGGCTATAGGGCTATAAGGCTATAGGGCTACAGGGCTATGAGGCTGTAGGGCTATAGGGCTATAGGGCCATAGGGCTATAGGGCTATAGGGCTATAGGGCTATCAGGCTATAGGGCTATAGGGCTAGAGGGCTATAGAGCTGTAGGGCTATAGGGCTAGTAGGGCTAGGGCTACAGGGCTATAGTGCATATGGCTATAGGGCTACAGGGCTAGAAGGCTGTAGGGCTACCAGGCACTTAGGCACCCGGGCGTGCCGCCGAAATCGGCGCCGCACCTCACCTAACAAAATAAATCCGCTAGGACCCCTACAAAGGCAAACTCTGATTGGGGAATGAATCCGCTAGGACCCTACAAAGGCAAGCTCTGATTGGGGAATGAATCCGCTAGGACCCCTACAAAGGAAAGCTCTGATTGGGGAATCAGAATCTTTTTAGGGCTATAGGGCTATGGGGCTGTTGGGCTATAAGGCTATAGGGCTCTAGGGCTATAGGGCTATAAAGCCATAAAGCTATAGTGTTATACGGCTATAGGGCTAACAAGCTCCCGGGCACATGGGCACCCGGGCACTGTGGCTCTCGCCTTAGCGCTGCGCACCGTCGTTTTAACAAATTGCAAGAGAGTCACGGATTGAGGGCGGATCGTTTTCAAAATGCGGCTCGCGCCTTAGCGCCGCGCACATTCCTCTTTAAACATTGCAAGAGAGTCACGGATTGAGGACGGATCGTTTTCAAAATGTGGCTCTCGCCCTGGCGCCGCGCACATTCCTGTTTAAACTTTGCCACAATTTCACGGATTGAGGGCGGCTCCTTTTCAACATGTGGCTCTCGCCTTTGGCGCTGCGTGCACTTGTTAAACGATTTGCCAGAGTTTCACGGATTCCCATGATCAGCGTACCAGAAACGGCATGAGGGTGCAATGGTTACGTTGATGCGCGGTGTTGAAGTCCAAGGAGTCGCGTTCTGGCACGATTCAGGATCGTCAAGACGCAGCAGTCACGTTGATCCGTGGCGTTGGAGTCCCGAGAATAATGTTTTGGCATGCTTTGGGCTCTTCACACGGTTGTCTTCCAACGGGGCAGTTCCCTCAGTGAAAAAGAACCGTTGTAGGGGCCTATAAAGAGGGAGCTTGGAGGGGGGGGTTATTCCAACATCGTTGATGACTCTTGGGTTTACACTGGTCCTCCTCCTCCTCCTCCTCCTCCTCGTCCTGCCCACCCTCCTCCTCCTGCTCTTGCTCCTCCTCTCCTTCTCTCCTCTTTCTCCTCCCCCGCCCCCTCCCCCTCCTGCTCCTCCTCCTCAACCTTCCCCTCCTCCTCCTCCTCCTCCTCCTCCTCCTTCTCTTCCTCCTCCTCCTCCTCCTCCTCCTCCTCCTCCTCCCTTCTCCGCCTCCCCCCTCCCCATGCGGCTCCTCTCCCTCCCCCTCCCTGGGCCCTCCCCTCCCCCTTCACCTGGGGCTCCTCCCCAGGCCTCCTCCTCCTCCTCCTCCTCCTCCTCCTTTCCTGCGCCCTCCCCTTCCTGTACTTCTAGCCGTCCACCCCCCCGCTGTCCTCCTCCTCCATGGCCACCACCACCACCTCCACCTCCTACCCCAAACCGGACGGGCCTTCTTTTTCCTCCTTCTCCTCCTCGTCGTCCTCCTCCTCCTCCTCATTCTCTTCCTCCGCCTCCCCCCCTGTCCGTCGAGAATATCTTCGGCGGGCTTCCTTGAGGCAATGACCCCAGAGTTACGGTCAGGGTGAGCTAATCCGTAGAGGCTCCAAGCGGTCTTCGTAATCAAGTGTTCGTGGGACTTCGCCCTGGGACCGCAGCTCGAACTCCAGCTGGAACTCCAGCTCCCCCCCTTCCCCTTTTCTCCTCCTCCGCCCCCGCCTGCCCTTCCTCCACCTCCACCTCCCTCCCACTCCGCCCCCACCTCCTCCTCCCCCACCCCCCAAGCGGGTGCTCCTGCACCCGAGCGCGGCTCTCAGACGCAGCCGCTCCTCCACGCTCCCGGCGTCCAGCCCGCGGGCCGGCGGCGCCGCAGCGTAGAACCGCTCCTCTGGGCGAACGAACGACGAACGACGGACGACGACGGACGACGAACGACGACGACGACGACGACGACGACGACCTTCGACCGACGACAAGACAACGACAAAGGTGACGACGACCGGCGACGACGGACGACGACGACCTTCGACCGTCGACCACGACGACGACTACGAACGACGACGAACGCCGACGAACGAACGACGACGACGACGACGACCTTCGACGGACGACGACGACGACGACAGTCGAATGACGACGACGACGACGACCTTCGACCGTCGACGACGACGACGACGACCGACGACGGTGACGACGACGAACGACGACGACGACGACGATGACAACGACGGACGACGAACGACGACGACGGCAACGAACCACGACAAATGACAATGACAAAGATGATAACGACCAAAGACGAGGACGACGACGACAACGAGTGATGACGACGACGACGACGACGACGAACGACGAAAGACGACGACGACGACCTTCGACCGACGACGACAACGACGACGAGTGACGACGACGACGACGACGACAACGACGACGACGATCTTCGACCGACGACGACGACCGACGACGACGACGGACGACAAATGACCTTCGACCGACGACGACGACCTTTGACCGACGTCTACGACGACGACGACGGCGGACGGCGACGAAGACGACGGACGACGACGACGACGACGACCTTCGACCGACGACGACGACAACACCGACAACGATGACGACCTTCGACCGACGACGACGACAGTCGACGACGACGGAGACGGACGACGAAGACGACGAACGACGAAGACAACCAATGACGACGACGAAGATGACGGCGACGTACGACGAGGACACCGACGACATTCAACCGTCGACGACGACGACAGTCGACGACGACTGACGACGACAACGACGGACGACGACGACGACGGCGACGACAAATACGACAACGGACGACGACGACAACAAACGACGAACGACGACGACGACGACCGACGGCGACAGACGACGAAAACGGACGACGGACGACGGACAACGACGACAACGACGATGACCTTCGACCGACGACGACGACGGACGACGACGACGACGACGACGACGGCGGACGACGACGACGACGACGACGGACGATGACGACGACGACCTTCGACCGACGACGACGACGACGACCACGAGTGACGACGACCTTCGACCAATGACGACGACGACCTTCGACCGACGAGAACGACGACGACGACAACGACGGACGACGCCGACGACCTTCGACCGACGACGACGACGACGACCTGACCGACGTCTACGACGACGGACGACGACGACGACGACAACGGACGACGACGACGACGACCTTCGACCGACGACGACGAGGACGACGGAAACGACGACGAAGGCGACGACGACGACGACCAACGACGACTACCAATGACGACGACGAACGACGAGAACGACGACGACCTTTGACCGTCGACGACACCGACGACGGCGACGACGACAACGGACGACGACGACTGACGACGACGACGACGACGACGACGACGGACGACGACGACGACGACGACGACGACGACGACGGACGAAGACGACGGACGACGACGACGGACGATGACGACGACGACACCGACGACTACGAACGACGACGAAGACGACGAACGACATTCAACGACAGTGAAAGACGGCGAACGACGACGAGCTGCGGTGCCGTAGTTCGTCGTCGTCGTCGTCGTCCGTCGTCGTCGTCGTCCTCGTCGTCGTCGTCGTCGTCGTGGTCGTCGTCGTCATCATCGTTCGTCGTCGTTGGTCTTCGTCGTTCGTCGTCGTCGCTGTCGTCGTCTTTGCCGTCGTCGTCGTCGTCGTTCGCCGTTACCGTAGTCGTTCGTTGTCGACGTCGTTGTCCTCCTCCTGCTCTTCCTCCCCCCCTTTTCCTCCCCCTCCTTCTCAATCTGCTCGTCCTTATCCTGCTTCGGTTGCTGCTGATCCTCCTCCTCCTCCTCCTCCTGTTTCTCCTCCTCCTCCCCCAGCTGGTCCCTCTACTCCTCCTCGTCCTCCTCCTCCTCCTCCTTCTCCACGTCCTCCTCCTCCTCCTCCTCCTCCTCCTCCTCTTTCCTGTTCCCCTCCTCCTTCTCTTCCTCTGTCGCCGAGCTCCAAGTGCTCGTCCAGCCACACCAGGGCGGCTCTCTTCTCGTTGCGCAACACCTCGGCCACGTCCACGCTGTACGGGTTCCTGGACCGGAACAGGTGGCCGATGCGAGAGCAGGGCCTGAGTGTCTGACCGATCGCTCGCAGGAAACAAACACTGCACAAACAAACGGGGGAGGAGGAGGAGGAGGAGGAGGAGGAGGAGGAGGAGGAGGAGGAGGAGGAGGAGGAGCAGGAGGAGGAGCAGGAGGAGGAGGAGGAGGAGGAGGAGGAGCAGGAGGGGGAGGAGGACCTCCGCGCGGACTCCCTGGCTCGGCGCCGGGCCCCCCCCCCGGCGCCGCCTCCAGCGCTGCTGCCGGCGCCCCCCGCGCGCCCCGGGCGGGGGGAGGCCCGGCGCCGAGCCAGGGAGTCCGCGCGGACCTCCCCGCGGGAGGCCGAGCGCTTCTGTCTTTGTGCGGCTCTCTTAGCCCTGACTCCAGATCCGCCCTACTTTGGCGAGGACCCAGACGGGATCGCCCTGACTCCAGATCCGCCCTACTTTGGCTTTTTTCCCAACTGAACACTGCGTCGGGAATCCACCTGCAAGAGGCCGAAAAAGTAGGGCGGAAATTTCTGCACCCAGCATAAAGTAGGGCGGAAATCCACGGAAGTAGGGCGGAAACAGCAGCAGGAAAGTAGGGCGGAAATTGGCATTAGCGGGGCTTGAAAAGTAAGGCGGAAATTCCAAGCCCTACTTAAGAATTTCCCCAAAGTAGGGCGGATCCGGAGTCTGGGAGAGGGCAGGGAGTCCACCCCGGTAAGAACCACCCCGACACGCGAAGCCGTTCAGCAAGCACCCCCCAAAGAAGGAAGCAAACAGGGCATGGGCCGTTTGGTAAGCGCGCCGGGCCGTTTGGTAAACCCAGAGATCCGATGTCGTGAACTTTTCAATACGCGGTCCCCAACAATCTCAACCCATTTCCCAGGACCGGTTTTTCACCCTGAGTCGTTTTTTGACGGTCCCGAGGCCCGGCGAGGGCCTCTATAGGCGGAAAACGGCGAAAAACCTCTGTCTTGATTGTTTCAATACGCTGGATCTCTGAGAACGCCCATCGTCTGGTCCGGGTGGTTCTTCCTCTCTTGCTCTTTCTTCTTCGAGTCGCGCCGCCCGATGACAGAGATCTGCCGATCGGCCCGCTCGCCGCCACGCACGCGGGCCCGCATCGGGCTCCACATCCCCCGGGGGACCGCGGCCGCGCGATCGCCGGGCAGCTTCGACCACGCGGGGGGGAGAAGGAGGAGGAGGAGGAGGAGGAGGAGGAGGAGGAGGAGGAGGAGGGGAAGGGGGAGGAGGAGGAGGAGGAGGAGGAGAGGAGGAGGAGGAGGAGGAGGAGGAGGAGGAGGAGGAGGAGGAGGAGGAGGACAAGCTAGGTGCGCTCGCGTCAACATCTGACATCCTACCCCTCCCTCCCATCCCTTCCCATTGAGCTACTTCATTGTCCTCTCACCGAATCGGGCTTCGCATCTGACCCTGTTACCTAAGAGGGAAAGGAGGAGGACGACGGCGCGATGAAAACGAAGACGACGACGACGAAGACGACGACGACGACGACGACCCACGACGACGACGACGACGGCGGCGACGACGACGACGACGACGATGAGGACGACCGGCGACGAAGACGACGACGACGACGACGCGACCGCGCCGGAGCGGCACCCGCGCCAGCTGCCCGCTGCCGTTACGCGCGTCCCCCACCCGGATCTCAAATTTCTGCAGGGGCGAAAGGAGAGTAGCATTCATATTGGGTAATGGTAGAGTGGGTCCGATGTCAGAGTTGTGCAAGTGCATTCATATTGAGTAATGGTAGAGGTAGAAATTGCCAATCGCGACAAAGACGCAGACGACGATGCAGGTGCATTCATATTGAGTAATGGTAGAGGTAGAAATTGCCAATCGCGACAAAGACGCAGACGACGACGGCGGCGGCGGCGGCGGCGAGGGAAGCGGCAGCGGGCGAGGACAGATGTCAGAGAAGAGGATTTTCAAAAACATAGATGAAAACCAAACTCCCGGGAATCCTGTGCGGAAAAGGACGCCGCCCAAAAGGGGGGGGGGGGCTTTCTGCGGCCCCAAAAATCAACGAATCGACACCGGATGTGTAATCACCTCCAATGTTTTTGCCGGGGATCATTTTCTAGATTTGGGGCTTCTTAAAAAGGATCGAAAACGTCGGCGCTGCAGCGGGAGCACGTTTTGGAACAACGAGAGGCGCAGAAATTGGGCCAGCGCTGCAGCGGGAGCACGATTCGGAACGAGCGGGAGCGCGGAAATGAGGCCAGCGCTGCAGCGGGAACACGATTCGGAAGGAGCGGGAGCCCGAAAATTAGGCCAGCGCCTCAGCGAGAGCAGCATTTTAGAAAAAAACACAAGCGAAAACCCAACTCCGGGGAATCCTGTGTGTAAAAAAACAGTACGCGGGGGGGTGCCGAACATCTTCCGGACGCCATCAGGGGAAGTGGGAGAGTAGTATTCATATTGTGTAATTGTGGAGGAGGAGGAGGAGGAGGAGGAGGAGGAGGAGGAGAGGGGGAGGAGGAGGAGGGGAGGGGAGGGGGAGGAGGAGGAGGAGGAGGAGAAGGAGGGAGGAGGAGGAGGAGGAGGAGGAGGGGGAGGAGGAGGAGGGGGTGGAGGAGGAGGAGGAGGTCGACGGGAGGAGGAGGAGGAGTGGCCGACCGCGCGACACCGCTGGGAGAGCTAAGAGCGCGGGGCACGATCTCGATGCGCCCCCCGCACCGCCAGGTGCGCAGGGACATCTCGATGTGCTCCCCGCCCCACTCGTTCATACCCTCGTCGTAGGTGCCCGCCCGCTCCCAGTGCTCGCGCCAGATGGCGAAGATGCCGCCCGAGAGGACCGGCGTGGGGTACGGGTCCGGGTGCTGGTACGACGCGTTCCGTGCGCCGGGGCGGCCCATCCAGTTGAACTTCAGCGTCCAGTCGAAGCCTCCGATCCCAGACATGCTCGCGTCGTGAGCAAAAAGCACGATGGGATGTTGTTGGCCATTTTCGGCCTCCAGGAGCCCTCGCCGGGCCTCGGGACCGTCAAAGAACGACTCGGGATAAAAAGCCATAAAAAGCCGGCCCTGGGGAAACGGCCGGGGTCTCTGGGGGCCGCGTGTGGAACACAGAAGGACGTCATGTCTGGGATGGCCACCCTTCTCATCCTCCTGCTCCTGCTGCTCCTGCTCCTGCTACTGCCTCCCCTCCGCTCTTTCTTCCCTCTTTGTTTTTCTTTTCCCCCTCCTCCAGTCGAGCTTCGGCGCCGAGTCGAGAGGCTCCAGATCGCTCCATCCTCCTCCTTCCCTGTTTGCTTACATTGTTACCACAGTTGGTATTTATCATCTTCTCCTCCTCCTCCTCCTCCTCCTCCTCCGAATCCTCATCTACCTCCTCCTCCTGTCGAATTTCAGCGTCCATCCGAGGCCTCCAATGAACTGCTGGGCGATGTGGTACGCACCGAAGTCGCTCTCAGGGATGATGTCCAGGGTCGGCATGAGCACAGTGCCTGGAGAGGCCACCATCCTTCTCCTCCTCCTCCTGCTCCTCCTCCTCCCCCTCCTCCTCCTCCTCCTCCTCCTCCTCTTCCTCCTCCTCCTCCTCCTCCTCTACCGCTGCTGCTACCGGCCCAGTTTTCCCCTCCCTTCCCTCCTCCTCCTCCTCCTCCTCCTCCTCCTCCTCCTCCTCCTCCACATCCTCTTCCACATCCTCTTCCACCTCCTCCTCCTCCTCGTCCACCTGCTTGCTCGTCGTTCTCCTCCTCCTTGGGGGAACGAATCATACCGACACCGGTACTTCCCGAACCTCTCCCAGAATGCGTTCTGACTAGAATTTCGAAGAGCGTCTCCAGTCGTGCAGACGAAGGCTCCCCATTGCGAGTAGCGGCATTGGTATAACCTCTTCCTCCTCTCGCTGCCATTCCCTTCATCCCTCTCCTCTTCCTTTTTCTCCGCTCTCTCCTGCTCATCCGCAACCTCCTCCGCCAAAGCACACGCCGGTCGGAGGAAGTGGGTAGAAACATGAAGTAGAAAGGCGTTGGAAGTAGATTGGACTTCAGCCCGCCCCCTGAAGAGGAGGGAAGAGGAACACCGTTCAACTCTTGGAGGAGGAAGGCGCCGAAAATAGATTGGAATTTGGGCAACCCGATATGCCTACTTTCAACGACCGGCGTGTACGCAGCTCCCTTTTTCCCCGATTGTGTATACCACAAGATAAGGGGCCCTCTTTGGAGCTGCAGGTCTGCTACGGTAGAGGGAAACAATTAGTGAACACCCCCCCTGACCCACCAAACTCAAAGTTGGCACGCGGGGGGGGAGACTGCGGTCGAGGTGCAACTCATCAGACCCACCGCCAACTTTGAACATTGGGGGGAGGGGGAGGCGTTCACAGATGAATGTGGCATGAGTGTTCGCTATTTTTTCCGAGGCCTGTACGACACGCGTCGGCGGACGGAGGGACCGCAGCACAGGGGCAAGGGCTGGGCGGGAGGGGCAGAGGCTGCCAGATGCGGCGCGAGCGCGCCTGGCTCGCCTCATCCCCTCTCCCCCTCCCCTCTCCCCCCTCCCTCCCCCTCCCTCCCCTCCCCTCCTCTCCCCCTCCCCCTCCTCTCCCCCTCCCCCTCCCCCTCCTCTCCCCCCTCCCCCTCCCCTCCCCCTCCCTCCCCCTTCCCCCCCCCCCTCCCCCCTCCCCTCCTCCTCCTCCTCCCTCCCCCTTCCTCCCCCTCACATTACTCAATATGAATACTACTCTCCCTCTTCCCCTGATGGCGTCCTGGGAATATTCGACCCCCCCCGCGTACTGTTTTTTACACACAGGATTCCCGGGAGTTGGGTTTTCGCCTGCGTTTTTTTTCAAAATGCTGCTCTCGCTGAGGCGCCGGCCTCATTTCTGCTCCCGAATCGTTCCGAATCGTGCTCCCGCTGCAGCGTGGGCCTCATTTTCGGATCGGTGTTTGGCCTCCGTCGTTCAGGATGGCGTTCTCGCCCCAGCGCGGGCCTCTTTCTCGCGCGCCCATCCGCCCGCCACCACCGCGCCGCACCACGCCCCGCCCCGCCGCACGCACACCCACCGCCACTTCCACCCACCAACGCACGCACGCACGCACGCGCACCACCACCGCGCACCGCCACCACCACCGCACTACCCCACCCACCACCACCACGCTACACCGCGTCACACCACATCACACGCGCGCACACACAGACACACACGCACGCACGCACGCACGCACGCACGCACGCACGCACGCACGCACGCACGCACGCACACACACACACACACACACATACACATACACACGCACACACACACACGCACAAACACACGCACACACACACGCACACACACACACACACAGACACACACAACCACACACACACACACCACCACCGCCACCACCACCACCGCCATCACGCAAGTACGCACCTGGCCCACCACCAAACCACCAAGACGCCACACCACGTCACACCACAGCACACGCGCACACACGCACACACACACACACACACATACACACCACCACCACAACAACCACAACCACGCACACACGCACGCACGCACGCGCACCACCACCCACTACGCACACGCGCGCGGAGCCACAGGTCCGCTACGACACGCGTCCGCGGATAGAGAAAATCAGCGCCATGGTAAGGGATGGGAGGGAGGGGTAGGATGTCAGATGTTGACGCGAGCGCACCTAACTTGCCCCCATCCCCTCCCCCTCCCCCTCCCCCCCCCCCTTCGCCTCCCCTCCCCCCTCCCCCCTCCCCCCTCCTTCCCCCTTCCCGTTCCAGGCGCGGCCCCCGGAAGTCCCGGCCCTCTCCCCGGGACCGGCTCCTTCTCCGGAGCCGAAAACGGCGAAGACCCTCCATCCGGATTCTATTCTACGACGCGCCCTGACTCCGGATCCGCCCTACTTCGGGGAAATTCGTAAGTAGGTTTTGGAATTCCCGCCTTGCTTCTCAAGCCCCGCTGATGCAAATTTTTTCGCCCTGCTTTCCTGCTGCTGTTTCCGCCCTACTTCTGCGGATGTCCGCCCCACTTTATGCTGGGTGCAGAAGATTCCGCCCTACTTTTTCGGCTTCCTATAGGTGGATTTCCGACGCAGTGTTAAGTTGGGAAAAAAAACCAAAGTGGGGCGGATCTGGAGTCCTGGCGATCCTGTCTGGGTCCCCCCCGCTCTCTTCCGCCTCCTCCCCTATAGGCGAGCGCGCTCGACTACTCTCGCAGAAGTCACTGCTCGCAAAAGCGGCCTGGATCTCGCAAAAGTGCGAGGTTCACGAGATGTTACGGGCATGCGGAGCGTGCTTTTTGTTCCTTACGTTTGCGAGAAGTGCGGGCAATAGTTATATCCACATCCAGTGCGTCTTGCAGTCTTGGGCTCTCTTCCCCAGAAACCGTAGACGCACTGGATATGGATAAAAATCTGGCCCCAAGAGGCTGGATCTGATCCACATCCAGTGCGCCTCGGCGTTGCGGCACCTCTTCCTAAAGAGTCCAAGACGCTCTGGATATGGATATATGTACTGCCCGCAAGAGGGCACTTTGCGAGGAGTGGAACGCGTCCCTGGACGGCGTCCCTGATTTTTTCAGGACGGCGTCCCTGGAAGTCCAGACCCTTTCCCCGGGGCCGGTTTTTCGTCCTGACTCGCTTTTTGACGGTCCCGAGGCCCGGCGAGGGCCCCCAGGGGCTGAAAATAGCGAAAAACCTCCCGTCCTGATTTTTTTACGACGCCATCATGTCTGGGGAACGCTCTCGGTGCATCCCCGCTCCCACGCCGTCCCCCTGCGGTGCCGGGAGGGGACTCCGAGAGCCGCTGCAGCAGCGGCTCCAGCCACTGCCGGCCGACGACGCAGTGCGGCTCCATGAAGACGACGACGGGGCTTCGCACCGGGAGGGGGGGCCCTGACTCCGGATCCGCCCTACTTCGGGGAAATTCGTAAGTAGGGCTTGGAATTTCCGCCTTGCTTCTCAAGCCCCGCTGATGCCAATTTCCGCCCTACTTTCCTGCTGCTGTTTCCGCCCTACTTCTGTGGATTTCCGCCCTACTTTATGCTGGGTGCAGAAATTTCCGCCCTACTTTTTCGGCCTCCTATAGGTGGATTTCCGACGCAGCTTCAAGTTGGGAAAAAAGCCAAAGCAGGGCGGATCTGGAGTCAGGGGGGGGCGGACCCAGAGATCCGACCGCCGGGGGGCCTCGTTTGTCCCGCCGCGTCGCTGTTCGCGTCGAATCCACATCGAAGCTCCATAGAAACGACAACGGGGCTTCGCACCAGGAGGGAGGTGGGTGAGAAGATTACGTTGCATCTTCGGGGAGACCTTGTTTGTCCCATCGCTGTTCGCGTCGAGTCCGCGTCGAACCCACGGCGAATCCGCATCGAATCCACGCCGAACGCGCGTTGACTCCATGCCGAAAAAGAACGAGAAAAACTGGAGCAGGCGGCTTTTGGCCGTTTTAGGCGTCCCGGGGGCCATCGGGGGCTCTCGCCAGGCCCCGGGACCGTCAACAAAAAGACCGAGGACGAAAAAACACGGCCCTGCGGAAGTGGTCCAGAGCCCCGAAGCCCACGCATCGAAAAAAATTGAGCAGCCAGATGTGCGGGGAATGAGGAGAGGAGGATGGAGCGCGACCACAGAACCTTCACACGTGCCAGTATACCCCAGACAGCCCAAGCGACCAATGGCTTGACCTGGGCAATGCACGAGGCGAGGAGGCGAGAGGAGGGGGGAAGAAGAGAAGGTTGGTACGAACCGCCCCCGAAACGTATCAGAGGAGCGGGGAGGGTCGCGTTGCATCTTCGGGGGGCGTTGCTTGCCTCATCGCGACGCTGTTCGCGTCGAGTCCGCGCCGAATCCGCGTCGAGGCCCCAAGAAAACGACCACTGGGCTTCGCACCGGCAGGTGGGTGGGTGGGAACGAGGAGGGTCACGTTGCATCTTCGGGGGACAGTGTTTGCCACATCGCGACGCTGTTCGCGTCGAGTCCGCGCCGAATCCGCGTCGAGGCCCCAAGAAAACGACCACTGGGCTTCGCACCGGCAGGTGGGTGGGTGGGAACGAGGAGGGTCACGTTGCATCTTCGGGGGACAGTGTTTGCCACATCGCGACGCTGTTCGCGTCGAGTCCACGTCGAATCTGCGTCGAGGCTCCAAGAAGACGACCACTGGGCTTCGCACCGGGAGGTGGGTGTGTGGGGGCAACGAGGGTCATGGTGCATCTTCGGGTGGCCTTGCTTGCCCCATCGCGACGCTGTTCGCGTCGAGTCCGCGTCGAGGCTCCAAGAAGACGACCACTGGCCTTCGCACCGGGAGGTGGGTGGGTCCTGGGTGGGTGGGAACGAGGAGGATCACGCTGGGGACCTTGTGTGCGTCATCGCGACGCTGTTCGCGTCGAGTCCGCGTCGAATCCACGTCGAGGCCCCAAGAACGCGACGACGGGGCTTCGCACCGGGAGGGGTGTGGGCGGGAGCGTGGAGGGACACGTTGCATCTTCGGGGGGCCTCGTTTGTCCCGCCGCGTCGCTGTTCGCGTCGAATCCACATCGAAGCTCCATAGAAACGACAACGGGGCTTCGCACCAGGAGGGGGGTGGGTGAGAAGATTACGTTGCATCTTCGGGGAGACCTTGTTTGTCCCATCGCTGTTCGCGTCGAGTCCGCGTCGAACCCACGGCGAATCCGCATCGAATCCACGCCGAACGCGCGTCGACTCCAGGCCGAACCCAAGGCGGAGACAGGAGAAGGCCGTAACTCACCGGAGAGAACAGAGGTCCCCCGAGGATGCATTGTAGGGGAGGTGGGCTAAAATCAGTCAGCATCGGATCGGGACCTCGGGTCGAGTCGGAGTGTGCGTCGAGAGGGGCTGCGTCGGCACGACGTCGAAGGCGAAATCGGATCGGCCGTGCCGGGATGCACCGCCGCGGCGTGCGAGCATCTGGCCATATCTGGCCGCATCGGATCGTTGGAATATCGGAATCGAATCGGACTGGACCAGCTGGAATCGATAAGATCGGCCGACTGGGATCGATCGGATAGAAGGGGGCTTTGGGGGTGTCTGGGAGGACGGCGACAAAAAGAAGAGCAGAAAATAGTGGGGAGCAGGAGAAGGAGGTGGACAGGGATGATAATGATGATGATGATGATAATGATAATGATGATGATGATGATGATGATGATGATGATGATGATGATGATGATGATGATGATGATGATGATGATGATAATGATAATGAGGATGATGAAAATGCTGATGATGATGATGATGATGTTGATTATGATGATGATGATGATAATGATGATGATGATGATGATGATGATGATGATACTGATGATGATGATGATGATGATGATGATGACGATGATGATAATAATGATGATGATGATGATGATGGTGATGATCATGACGATGATAATACTGATGATGATGAGGAGGAGGAGGACAGCGGAGAGGGGGAGGATGACAGAATGAGAAGGAAGACGAGGGGAGGTTAAAGAGTGGAAGCATGATGAGGATGATGCTGATGATGATGATGATGATACAGTAATGATGATGCTGATGATGCTGATTGTTTGGCTGATCTTCATTACTTTTAAGGCACTGATCTCTATACTGGTACCAGAACGTGGCTCTCAAAACATACAAGCATTGTAGCCTGTATGGTATATGTTGGCTGACCTTTGTCATTTTCAAGTGACGGATCTCTTTAATATGACCGAAGCGTGCTCCGGCGAAAGCTAACAACGAGGAGGGGGAGGGGGAGGAGGAAGGAGGAGGGAAATAAGGAGGGGGAGCCTATAGTCCTATAACCTATAGCCTCTAGGGTGACCTCAGACCATCATCGATTACCAAACCCCATGAGCTTATGATCCATGCTGATTTGGCATGCCGCGCATTGTTGGCGCCCTGGGTATTCATGTCGTTGTCCGAAAGATACTGGATGCATGGCTGCAGTCTGGTCGGGTGAGGTTGTGTATCATCTAATGGATACGTGAGCGTTGAGAGAATACTGGTGCATAACGCTGGTGGATTGCACGCTTGTGCGCATGATCTTGGTGGCAGCATCATGCATTATTTGTCTTGGGCCATTACTATGGGGATATCTAGAGCAGCTGGGAACTGCTCGCGGGCTGTGGGATCTGGTGTGAACACACGTGCGAACATTAAGTTGGTTCAGAAACGCCAGTGCGAACGTTAACGTTAACGTTAAAACTGACCCCCAAGCTAGCGCGCGAACGCAGTGCGAACACAACGCGAACACAAGAAACACTATAACGCCAGGCCCCGTGCGAACGCAGTGCGAACACCGTGCGAACATTAAAACTGCCTGAACCCCCCCCCGTGCGAACACACGTGTGAACACAGTGCGAACATAAGGCCTCGGACAGGGAGCTGCCTCCAGACCCCCCCCCCCTCCCCTGGCCTTCAGAGCTCGTCGAAAAGTTCTTGCTGGGGACACGTTTTTCTGTGATGTCCAATGCGTCTGAACCTGAGGTTCGCACTCTGTTCGCACGGTGCTCGCACTGTGGTCGCACGGCAGGTTCGCCCCCCTTTTTTGTGCTCGCACGGGGTTCGCACTGTGGTCGCAAACTGTTTCGCCCGTGTTTTGTGTTCGCACTGTGTTCGCACGCTGTTCTTGACTGCAGAAGTGAGGGCCCTCCTCCCCAGTGGAATGCGATTTGAATGTGCTCCATTCCTGCTTCGCCTTTTTCCTCCTCCACCTCCTCCTTCTCCGCTCGCAAACTCCTCCTCCACCTCCTCCCTCCCGCCCCCGTCCTTTTACTCCACTCATTCTCCTCATCTCCCCTATTCCTCCTACGTCTCCTCCTCCTCCATCCTCCTCTTCCTTCCTCTCATCCTCCTCTTACTCCTCCTCCTCCTCCCCTCCGCCCTTGTCCCTCCTTCTCCTCCCTCCTCATCCTCCTCCTCATACTCCTTCCTCCTCCCCCTCCTCCCTCCCTTCTCGCCTCCGGGGCTGCCCCTCATGGGGGCTCGCGTGGCCGCGTTCAGGCAACGCTCGGGCAACTTCTGGGCTCGGGTATCGGGAGGGGTCTCGTTATGTCTCCATCGTTTTTTTTTTTTGAGGAGGAGAGGAGGAGGCGAGGCGAGGAGGAGGGGGAGGAGGGGGAGGAAGAGAGATGGTTATGTCTTCATGGTGCTTTCATGGGGTCTCGTGCGTTGAGCGGTGGGCCCCCGCCTCCGCTGCAGAAGGGGGCTGGGCGGGCCCCGCGGCGGCGGGCTCCCCTGGCCGAGCCGGCCCCTGCTGCGTGTCTATCCCGGGTCGACTCCCGGCCCTCCTGGGCCCCGCTGACGGCCCCGGGGGGTCGAACGTTGCAGGACGCGGTTGTACAGTCGAGGCGTTGACCTAAGGAACCCTACATAAGGAACGAGGCCCCTATTTTCCATAAGTTGAACTTCGATTTCGCATCGGAAACCTGAGGAAAATCCAAGGCAAGCTGCGAAACAATTCAGGAACACGGAGCCCCTCCCCAACGAAAAGGGTTCCTTCTTCAGGGCCCCGACTGTATGTTTCACAGGCGGTGGATATCTGGATCTACGCGTGTTCCAAACTTGAGGGGCGAGGGACAGGAGACAGGGGAAGAGGGGAGCAGGGGAAGGGGCAGGAGAACATGGAGGTGGAGGTGGAGGTGGAGGAGGAGGAGGAGGAGGGGGAGGAGGCTGGGACGAGGGAGAAGGGTGGGTGGAAGAGGAGGAGGCCGCCCTGAGGAGGCCAGCAAGCCGTGCACCTCGGCGGATCATAACTGTTCGAATGTAGTTTTGTCCAACAGCGTTGGTCCCCGCTCTTCCGTATCTGCGAATCATGTCTTTCTTCGGTGTTCAGGTGGGTTCCGTTAGCGTGCCATGCGCATCGCG